ACCTAGACCCTACTCCTAGGCATAGTACAAATTTGAAGTACTCATTAAATAGTATCTATCAACCATTTTTTAATATCCATTATTAAATGTCAACCAAATTCCTCTAGTACCATTATTAAATAGTATTAATTTATTTATTTCTTTATATTTTGATTTTTGAATAAAATATCAACACATCAAATAAAGTTTTTTTTATTACTATAAAAGTGATTCTCCTAGAAATTTTAACTCTACAGTCAGAAAATAATAATTAATAAAAAATACTGCATAACGTCTGAAAATGGGCTTTTCTTTTAAGTCAAAATCTTTCAACGGTCATTTTCACAACAAGTCCTGAGAATGTAAAAAGTAAATAAACAAAAAAATCAATAAAAAAAAGAGATCTCGGTTTGGTTTAAACCGACCAAACAGAGCATCCAATAGCTATTATCAAAGATCAGTTTTTGCTGTTTTTGGGTCGGTTTCGGTTGGCATAATAGTCAACCCGAGATATTCAGTTCGGTTGACAAAATCTGGTACAACCAAGCCAAACCGACTCGTGTACAGCCCTAGGAGGAAGAGAAGAAGAGAAGAAGAAGAATTATGGGAGAAGAGGGTGTCACTGTTTACACCCAAAATTTTTCTTTTTATATTAAAGAGAGGATTACATTTATGCCCCTATATGGGGGCCCAAATACAAATAAGAGGAAATGACAACAGTGCCCCCATGGGTAGTGGCTTATCTAGATTGTTATGTTGCAGGAATTAGTGAAGTTCTGGTTTTTCTTGGGATGAATGAAATTAAGTAACTACATTCTAAGAGAATTTTGGATGAAAGTGAATATTTCTTTTACCAATAACAAGGATTTATTGAAAAAGAAAGGGGGATAGAGATAAAAGCTCTGCATCCAAACAATAGGCTTGGAAAATAAAGAGAGAAATAAGGCTACATAGCCACATAGGTTTTGAGAAACCAAATTGTAGAAAATGAGACAGCTTGAGCCCCTTAAGGAGGAAAAGGAGCTCAGTTCTGTTTAAATTGTTTTCTACTTATGGACCAGGGGAAACAAAAAGATGATAATTCTCCCACCATCTTACAATGCACATCCAATGCCTTATCTGGCTAGATTTCCAAGTTAATAGCTGTCAAGGTTCAGTCTAATAACCACTAGCCTAACATGACTCCAAGTTGTATGACTTCACATTAATGAAGGCATGGTTTTACAACTTGGGTTCAGTTTGGTTGCATTCATTTGCATTAGTATAAATGCATGGGAGTGCAAGTAGGCTGAATGTAAATTCTGGTTTACTTTTGCTTCAGATTTGACCGTGTTGTTTGTTTGTAAGAAGTAAAATAGGAAATTAAATGATGTGTTTCCCACCTTATATGCAAAAGAGTGGAGGTAGGAGGAAGGTTATTTGTTCAAGAATAGGTAGGAAGCTAGATGATGTGGTCCCCACTTTATATGAGAGAGAATTGAGGTAGGAGCTAGGAGGAAGGTAGTGCAAAATTTGCATCAGCTTTTAAGATGCACAATTTTCACTGCCAAATGAGACAAAAGCCCAGTTTGGGAAGAGTACAAATACAAATATGTACAGTGAAAATACAAGGTTTTGCATTGTACATAATTGTTTTTGTACTCTTCTCAAACTGAGCCAAAAGTACAAATTTTTTATCAGATAAGAGTGAAAACCATAATTACAAACAAATGGATGCACAACTGAATCGGGTGCAAAATTTGTATTTGGTGATTTGTATTGCAAACAAACAGAGCCTTGAGATCAGATACTATTATCTGAAGGGAAGGGGGATCCATCATATGGATGGCCGAACCATGTAGGGTGGTTGGGCGAAGTTTCAAAATTTTCTTTCTCCTTTTCGGGAATCCTACTCCCTGATTTAGAAAAACTACATTTTTCAAGGTCCATTTTTGAAACAAACCAGACCAGTTCTTGAACCAAGATTAGGGAGACGTATACTTGATATGGAATCCACACAAAAAACTCCTCCCAACGTAGGTGTTCACACCCAAAGAGGTTACCAAATCCTTCCTCCACTGAAGATGACACAGCTTAGGGTGAGAAAGAATCAACAGGGAGTAATCGAACAAGGAAGTGAGCACAGTTTCAAGATTGATTCTTCTACCAAGAAACAATATCAAGATCAAATCTTGATCACTCCAATATGTGGAGATTGAATAAGGTAGGGCGGTAAGAGCAGAGAAAGAGAGAACTAGAAGCAAAGAGTAGTAGAATTGTGTAACCCTTCTCCAGTTCACCCTCCCCTTTATAAATAACCCTTAAAGAGTCAACCTCCTAATCTAATTAGGAGTTTCTTGATCCAAATCTTTATTTGGATCTGCACTCTTTAAGTGATAAGGATAATCTCTTATCTTATCTACAAATCAAGATTAGCTACTCCTAATCAAATTAGAAGTTTCTTGATCCAAATCTCTATTTGGATTTGGACTCTTTAAGTGGATAAGAGTTATCCTCTTATCCTGTTATGTTGATCCATACCCAGATTCGTCCCCTATTTAATTAATCACATTAAGTCCAGTTCGAATTGGGCTTTAGGCCCATTAAGCTTTCAGGTTCACTTCCCTTTAAGTGTTGGCTAGTTTGGTTATCTTTGTATGGCGTGGGACCCTATCATTGATCTTCACATCATCCACATGGGTTCAGCCCAGCTTGTGTTACAAGGCCTGGCCGAATTCACTATTGAATACAGTGAACCCTTGAGTCCATTAGTATGGGCTCTTAATGAGCCCAACATTTACACTAAATGGTCCTTTGGTCCAGCCATCTTATGAAGGCCCAAGGACTGTGGGCAGATGTGAGATTAGCCCATCAGGTTTATCATCCCTAAATGGTCTTACACTTAACCTCTCAGCCCATAATGATCAAACACTGCTTGACAAGAGAGGACCTCTCCCTCGGCTGCAAGGTACAGTGTTGCACTCTCTACTCACATGGATTCCGGGAATTAAAACCTTTTGCAAACAATTTGTGAAACCATAATATATAAGTATATCTCTATATAAATATATTTTGCAAAACAAATTTCAACAAGTTTGAAATCAACTACCGACAGTTTAGGTTTCCATCAGAGAGAGTGCACTCCCCGATCATTCACTTTGTCCGGCAAAGGGGCTGATCCTGTCATTATGATCACTCACTCAGGTGAATTCTCGAACTGTCCCAACATACCCAGGTTTTAACCCCCTCTAAGGATTTCACTGATTGGCATATCAAAGATAGCCCAATCCAACACCTAGTGCAGTACCATAATTGAGTCTAGGGGTCAGGTGTAACATTCTAGTTTTGCCCATCTATCTCCAAGGTTCAAGGCAATACTGGAATTTGGTCCGGTTTAGGGTTTCAAGAAAACCCACATTGCATGTACCTCAGGTCTCACCCTGGCAGCTGAGACAAGTCACCCCAACCCACTTGGCGGCACATCAGTGTCAACCTTGGCAGGATAAACCTCCCTAGATCTATCCAACAGCTGTGAAGATTCTAAACTAACACGAGTCTCATAAGTGTCCATTTTAAGGGTATTACACAGAAACAAACCAATATATAACAAGAATCAATTATGTACTATTAATCATTTACAATAAGTGTACCAGTACATCAATCTGATTGGAACTAAGGGCATACACCGTCTAACAATAGAGGCCTGACTTTGAAGAGATTTATTGAAGTTGCCCTAGTGATGACAAGCATGAAACAACAATGAAGAAACATCTCTGTTGGATATTTTTCTTAAGAGTGAATTACCAACTTTTACTTGAACAGTTGAACTTGATCATATCTCTAGGGTCAATCAGAGAACCCTGAACTTCTCCAAGAAATGACATCAAATATTTACTTATCTTCTTGCTATGAACAATTGCTGGTAACCAATTTTGTCTTCACCAAATATCATAGCATGACTGAAGATATTTCGTCTTTTATTTTTTCATGTCTAGCATGTTTCTCCTTTTTTGGTCAGTTCGTTAGTGAAGAGAATGAATTATGGAAGGGCCAAGGCTTCTTAAATAACCATGTCAGAGATCTGTTGTTGTCTGGGTGGGCATTTCATGAGACCTCTGTTCACATGTTCACTTCAACAAAGATAAAGTAACCTGAACTTCAGTGCCAGATCATATTTGTAAGTTTGTGCTTAAACAAGTGAACTCAATTTCTTGGTTGATAGGCATGGATAACTAGTGTTATCTTACAATCCTTCTACTTTTTAATGGTTTGTGATTATATCACTATGCCATTGAGGAGGAGGAGAGTTTCCCAGAGTGGAGAGTTTGGAAAATAGTTTCTCCATTCAAGGTAGCCTTTTTGTTATGAACAGCCACTCTTGGAAAATGCCTAACAGCAGATATGCTTGCAAGAAGAGGTGTGGTGGTGGAATCAAGTGGATGTAGCATGTGTGGGGTGGCTTCAGAGGATGCACAACACCTCTTCATCCATTGCAAGCTCATAAGAATGGTTTAGGTGAAAGTTTTGGGGCTCTTTGAAGTCAGTTTCTGCTTTCCTAAAGATTTGAAATCCTTGTTGTGGTGCTGGCAATTGAATGGTTTGTCCAAGAGATGAAAAGTCTTGTCGGGACTCGGGAGTAATTCCAGCAGCAGTGATTTGGTCATGGACAGAGAAATAGGAGAGTTTTTGAAAATAAACACAATACAGTTGATACAATTTTGAAAAGCTTATGGGGTAAATTGTACATCTTACAGTTCTTTTGTTGATATTAGGAATCTTTATCTTAAGTGTAATCAGCTTCAAAATGTTTATCCCCCGTGCAGTATCTTATTGAACGGGCTTTGTATTTTTTGTTCAGTTTAATATAATACATCACCTTTTCTTAAAAATAAAAAATCACTGTGCCATTAGGGCAATCTCGAATAATCAGCAATCCTGGATTGCCTTCCCTGTCTTACTTACGCTTGTGTTCCCATTTCATTAACACGGATATAATGAATCACCTGTGTTAACATTTCATAGATTAAAATTTAATGTTTCAGATACCTCGTGAAAGATGGGAGTTGACATTCCTGAAGACAGAAAGTGAAAATTATCAGTCAAAACATGTCTAAAGAGGGGAAGCTGTTATCTTGCATCCACGACTTTGCCTGAGGCGGCGAGGAGTCAATGATCAAAGAGAAGATTGTATATACAATATTACCAACTTGGTTGTTCCTGATAATTGACGGACCCAAGGAGTTTGGTATCAAGCATTGAGGTGTTCTTTTTGGGATTTCTTTTCCTTTATTTTCTAATGGAGTTGGTTCTTTCATTTGTCATGCTTTTCTTCTTTACCTTGGTTTATGTAGATTGCTTATAGAGTGCAAGTGTGATTTTTGTAATTCCTTTTTGAAAAGTAAGTGATTAAAATGTAGAAGGGGTAGTATTTGTGTGCAAAGATAGTTGGTGATTTTGACTCTTCTTAAGGTTGGTTTCTGTCAACCAACATACAACCATTGTATATTCAAATAGTTCAAGATTTTACTTGGTTATAGTGATTTTAGACAATATTTTTTCCAGAATTTTCTACAGATCGAACTTCTTTGTAAGTATATTCTTTTATTTCATGTTTTCTCTACAAAAGATGGATACCGAATTGCTCATATTACCACACCTCAATACTAGATGCATTTGGATGAAACTGATGGCTAGGTCTCTCGGTAGAATCAATGAGGTTAGTATTTTTATACGATCCTCCACTATAAAAATAACAGTTTTTGGTGACGTTTGTTTTGTGACATTTAAAACAAACGTCGTCAAAATCCAACATTTTCGTGACGTTTTAATAAATGTCATGGAATATTTAGTTTTCATGACGTTCATCTTAAATGTCATTATAACCTTTCTTTTTGTGACATTTATTAAATTTTATTGCGACATTCGACTTAAACGTCACTAAAACATCTTTCCCGCCAAATATTTTGTGACAATTGAGTTAAATGTCACAAAAAGTGAAAATAAATGTCACTAAGATTTTTTTCGTGATATTTATTTTACAAACGTCACAAAAAAGTAAAACTAAATGACGCTAAAAATGAATATCTGGTGAAGTTTATTTTACAAATGTCACAAAAAATATATCTCTACCTAGAGGTGTAAATTGGGCTAGCATGATTTTGAGCTGACCTGACTTGGCTTGACATGATGGACTGCGGCCACGCCAAGCATGACATGATTGTATAGGCTGTGCTAGGCTTGGGGATTTAGGTCCATGGGTTGGCACAATACCATAGGACTAAGTAGGTCATGCCACCTACGCCCCATGGTATGGCTTAGCATGACCCGTATATATTATATATTATATATTATATATAATAATTATAATATATATATAAAGTTTCGATCATAATTAAGAAAAAAAAAGAACTTGAGTAGAATTAGGGTTTCTCTATTCAGGATATTAAGTATGCATTATGTCTATTAAAACCCCTTATTTATATTCTTTAGAGGAAATATCGTTTGATTTTGATTTTATGTGAAAGAGTTACTTTGTAAGGGTTAAACCCAACAATAGATATAAACAATCTCATCAACTTGGAGATTAGTGAGTTATACCCATGAGCGGGCTCCACAATTGGTAGATAGGTCATGGGACCCATAGACCATTGGACACTTAAGTATTTTAAACTTATATATCTTAATAGTGAGTCCTGTTAATTAATAAAAAGTAGGACCCATTATACTGATTTGGCAATGGGCATGGCCCACTTTAATATTTTAACATTGGGCCTTGTTAATAAATGGAACCCACTATACTAATTTGATAGTGGACATGACCTAATTTGATATTTTAAATTTAATTATTTTAATAGTGGGCCCCCCTGATCGTGGAACCCACTATGATAATTTGTTAGTGGGTGTGGCTCATCTTAATGTTTTAAACTTGAATATTTTAATAGTGGGTTCCATTGATGGGTGGGGCCACTATGATGACTTGATAGTGGGTGTGGCTTACTTTAACATTTTATATTTGAATATTTTAACAATGGGCCTTGTTGATAAATGGGACCCACTATGTTGGTTTGATAAGGGACGCGATCCACTTAAATATTTTAAACTAAAAAAAGTTTTACAGTGAACCTCACCAATAGGTGTGACCCACTATGTTGATTCGATAATGGATGTGACTCACTTAAATATTTTAATAGTGCCCTGTTAATACGTGGATCCACTATGTTGATTGTGAACTCAAATATTTAAACAATGGGCCTCATTGATATATGATATTTAAATAGTGAGCATGACCCACTTTAAACTTAAATGTTCAAACAATAAACCCCACTATATTGATTTGATAGTGGGACCCATTATGTTGCATGGGTTCCACCAAGCCAAGTTACCTAAAACTTGTTATAGATATAGCCTATTACTCATTATTAAGCTTTGCTTTTGTTTATGGGGTGGGACCCACCAAGCAAAAAAAGAAACTTAGAATTTTGTAACAGTGGACTATTCACTGCTTATTTTCCTTAGAGGTGGATAAAATCCATCGAATATTACATTCTAATTATTAAATTTTATTTTAGTTTATAGTGGTTGGGACCCACTAAACCAGCATAACTGTTATAACAGCGGATATACTTGAATTTGGTGGAGAGGATCCTCTCTCTCTCTATAATATATATATAATATAGTGAGCATGGCCCATTTTAAACTTAAATGTTGAAACAGTAAGCCCCACTATATTGATTTGATAGTGGGACCCATTATGTTGCATGGGTTCCACCAAGCCAAGTTACTTAAAACTTGTTATAGATATAGCTTATTATTCATTATTAAGCTTTGCTTTTGTTTATGAGGGGTGGAACCCACCAAGCAAAAACAGAAACTTAGAATTTTGTAACAGTGGATTATTCACTGCTAATTTTTCTTAGAGGCGGATAAAATCCATCGAATATTATACTCTAATTATTAAATTTTATTTTAGTTTATAGTGGGTGGGATCCACTAAACCAGCATAACTGTTATAATAGCGGATATACTTGAATTTGGTGGACAGGATCCACCGATTGCAACACTGTGATCTGTTGTTGCAAGGTATTGATGGGGACCCATGAATTCATAATAATTCACAGCTGTCAATAGTGGGGCCATATTATATACATATAGCTGAGGTGGATAGGATCGAGATTGGATCTGCTCCTCACACTTGGCGCTTCACAAGCTCCTCACATGCACATCCTATCATGTATTGGGAACATCTCCCGTACTTATTAGTTATTATTCACAAGAGATGTTCTCAATGCATGATGGATGTGCCTGTGCGGCACCTATTTATGAGGAGCAGATCCTACCGGTTGAGTTATCTTCTCAATGTGGATGATATCCACATTATATGACAGTGGGTCCCTCTGTAACAGTTGGTAGAAAACTGAAAACAGTGAATCCCAAAAAGTTATCAGTAACAAGTGGCAACRTGTGCTATTATAGGTAGCAAACCAACACATCTGTCTCCCTTTCTCAAGTAGATAACAGTGTTGCAACAGGGGGAATATGTGCTGTTACAGGTGGTAAAATAGCACATCCATCCCATTTTCAGGTGTATTGACAGTGGGTCCCAGAGGTTTGCCATTTACAAATGGCAATCTAGGTTGCAACAATAATACATTTGTCCCTTTTTTAAGTGGATAAGATCCACTGACAATGGAATTAATCCATTGAAAGTTCTTTTGAGGTGGATAGGATCCACTGAATATAACAATGGTTCCCAAGTATTAATCTCTTTTCTTTTTATCTATTTTATCACATTTTTTGTGGTTGATAAAATTTGCCATATATATATTAAGATAAGATTTTGAGTTCTAACAAAACTCTAGAGAGAGAAGATAAGATAAGATAATGATTGAAAGTAGATAAAATTTAAAGAGATAGAAGAAAAAAAATAAGATCTATACCTATGTACACTTATCTTAATCACTTCAGTCAGTAGAACTACAAATTTCCTCCTCTATTGCCTCTCCTTTTTTCTCTTTCTCTTCTCTCTTTTTTCTATTTGCTGCCCATTTTTCCTCTCCTCTCTCCTTTATATATAGAGGAGACAATTATGGGTAGAGAGGTTAGAGCAACCTCCCCACTCTTCATACGTGGGGTGGTTGCTTAGCTCCCCCCATAGTTAGAATAAATTAAAATTAAAATTTATGTGAAGTGGGTCAACTATCAAATCTGGCCCCTCAAGCCTTATATTATATTTTTTTGATAAATCTCTTAAATTACCCTTATTGTTTAGACTCTTAAGTTTTCTAACAATTGACATTGTTAATGAAAGAAAACAAAATGTCAAATTTATCTTCCATCATTTTTCAAATTTCATCCCCTATTTCACCGTCTGCCTCTACTCTCTCTCCATTCTCAGACCTCCCCCTCCCCCACTCGCCTCTCTCTCCTTTTTGCTCTATTCTCAGATCTCCCCTCAGCCTCCGGCTCTCAGCTTTGTGCAAAGTACCCTTATTCCTAAAAATTCGTTGTCGCAGAAATACTCTTCTCATCTGAGGAGGAAAGCGAAGAATCATGCACCCAAGGAATTGAATGTGCCGCAGCTTGTACAGTAAATTCAAGACAAGCTCACCAAGGGGCCTGTTGAATGCATGATCTCTTACGAAACTTGGTCGTTCAGAACACAGGTGTCACCTGATTAAGCTCATCAACTGTCGTTCAGAACAATGGTAAAAACATCATAAATGGTGGTTTTGGGGTTGAATGGAGCCCATCTTCCTGTAAGGACCACCATCCAAAAGTTGAGTTTGGATTCAATGTATTAATCCGAAACCCCTTTTGGTCGATTACAAGGTTCTGTCCCGCTTTGGGTTGAGATGTGGAAAACTTTGTAAGAATCTTTATGTCACGGCCTATCACCTCGAATAAAAAACAGAGAACTTGAAAAACATTTCTGAAACGGTTGTAAATGTTCATCTGATCTGTTTCATGGGGAGACTAGAGTTGGGGGATTCTTTTTTGGTGGAAGACACCGGACGGTGACTTGAAGTAGAAGACACGTTTAATTTTTGAAGGGTTACAGCCTTGTAGAGGATTGATTTGTAATCTTTTCCACCGCTAAAAGAACCAAGGGTTGCAGCCTTGCAGACATGCATGGGAGTTAGAACTTGGATTTAGTACCCACAACAAGGTTCTGTCAAATTATATGGATTTAAAATCCTTTGCAATAGTGGTTTGGGGATAGGGGTATTATGGCCAGGCTTTGCAGTTATGATAAGGGCTATAGCTTAGGCCCGGGCTTGGGTTGGGCTGGACTTAATTCCGGGCCAATGTCACATATATAAAATATTACATATCTATATATTAAATGACATAACATGCATATCAACTTATTTTATACATTATATAATATAAAATATTACATATAATATAAATTATATATGTCATGTTATAATATTTATATATAAAATATATAATATAATGTAAAGTAACATGTATACATATGTATACATTATACACAAAATGTGAAGTATTAAGCCCAAGCCCAGCCCTAAATTTTGCGGACCTGATGTGGGCCCGAGCTTGAGTCGGGCCTGAA